CAGAACAAGACTGTGGAGAAATGGGAAGAGCTCTCCGGGAAAACATGTGGCATGGTTGGCTCCTTCCCAGTGGATTAGGAGTTCGGGAAGCACACGGCAGGGGCAGGGGGGCCCACAGGCTTCCAGGTGTGGCTCCGTGCTGAAGACAGTGGGAACCCCAGGCTGTTTTAAACACAGAAAGGCATAGGCAGAGCTGCAAGCATGAGACGACTGTGGGAGGAAGGGCCTGTGTGCAGAATTCCACATGAGGATGAGAATCGCTCCTCCGTGGGAATCCTACAATTCCCTTCTTTGTGCTCTGGAGAACAGAGCATGGATGGGGGATTCTGAACACCCAGTCTGTGGTACTACATGGGGTAGTAGGTGACCTTTGGCAAATCCCTTCACCTTGTCTTACCTTACTTTCTTCACCTGTAAAATGAGTGTAATGCAGAATTCTACACATGTGCACAAAAATGCTTGTCTAGGGATGGTCATTGTGACATTATTGCAACCTAAAATCCATCATTAAGGATCTGGACAAAAAGAGGTCAGTCAACAATAAAGCATTGAAAATCCTTTAAAAAAGTGAGGCAGCTGATTGAGAAGGCTCCTTTGGGCATAGTGGTGAGATCAAATTCGGAAGATATATATTATATGGCAGCATTCATTTTAAAATATATTCACATGAATATGTATGTAAATGCTTAGAAAAGGGCTGGAAGGATGTTCCAGAACCTTCATGGAGGGAGCTGGGGTGGGGGTAAACATGGAAGGGGTTGGGGCCAAAAAGTGACCTTTCCATGTCCAGCTCTTACTTACGCATCCCTTTGCTTCTTTTATAAGAGACATCAGTGTCACCTTTGTGAAAGACACTTGATACCTGAGGCTGGGAGGTGAGAGTGTGGACGGTGGGTGGTGGGCTGTCAGCCCTGAAGCAGGGGCTGCAGGGCTGATGGAGAAGTGTGAGCTCCGCGCGACAGTGGCTCCACCAGCCGCTTCCGCCAGGGGGCAGCAGGAGACACAGACACCTGACTTAGAGCCAGTGAACCTGTGCCAGGTGGTCTAAATTCCCAAGTCTCCGTTGACTCATCAGCTGCACAGAAATAATGAGCCACATGCCCTTGGGGAAGGACCCGATAAGGTGGTGGATATGCAGATGCTCAAGTAAGGGATTCATACTACCATGCTACAGTGTGGAAGCAGCACTCCATCGTGAGTGGAAGAACAGGGAGGAAACCACAGATTGGGGCGGAGGGTGGAGGGGGTGGTGAGGATGGGGAAGGGAGTGGCCATTCACTGCCACTCAGCATCTCCTTATTTATTGTCACAGTCATCGTTAGGTATTATAAGCTCCTTTTTATGGATGGAAAACAAGGTTCAGCAACTTGCCCAAGATTATGCAGTTGGTAAGGTGCAGAATGTGACCCCAGGGTGGCAGTGCAGGACCTCTCCTTTTTAAGAGTCTGTGGCAAGTGTTTAACCCCTGTTTTCAGGTTTATGGGCGGCGGTGCCTGGACACCAGGATCCTGGGCATTTGTCCACACCAGGGTCCTCTACAGGTGGGTATTCAGTCTCCCCATCACTCAGGCATGCCAGCCCATGGGTGCTGCCTCCCATCGTGGGCCAGGTCTTGAGCCAGGTGCCGGGGCAGAAGAAACTGACTTGCTGGGATAGGAAACTTTCCTCATTGCCGCTGCTCTCCACTCCCCAAGTCCCAGTGAAAACTCACCCTTGAACTTCCCATTGCTCAGCATCTGCAGTTAGCACCACCTTCTGGAAGCAAAATGTAGGCCCTTATATGTACTCGATACAAAAGAGGATTTGCTCCCTGAGTCCCTGTTCAAGGATGATTTGCACTTCACAAAGAGTGTGTTCACTCTGGAAGGCACAGGGCTAAGAGGAGTCTGTGGATTCGAATGTGGCTACACGGCATGGAAAACTCGCCAGCACCTCCCCATCATTGAGGCTGTTTAGGAAAGGGACTGACATCTCTGTCCTTATTTATCCACATTGTTCACTAGTGGCTCTAGGTTCCATTAATTGAGTCAGTTTCTCTCCCTTCCATCCCGGGGAACAAAAGAAGATGTGAAGACACCCGGGCACCAGGCCTTGGCTGCAGGCCAGCCCCTCTGGCTGCTCTCTGGAACAGCTCACCACTGGCAGCTTCCAAAGACTTTTTGCATCTGTGGTTTCTTCTCTTTACCTAAAAATGGCTGCAAATCCTTGTGCAGGATAGCAAAAAGACCAGGAACTGCCTCCAGGGTCTTTTAAAGGAGCAGAAGAGATTGGTGACATTTTATCATTCAAATTCTTCTCTTCAAATACAGTTTCTGGCCTTTAAAGCCTGGCCCCCTCCCACCTGTGGTGCCTCACCTTGGCCCATTGTGGTCCAAATGCTTAATTTATTGTCCCGAACCCTGTACCAACCCCTACCCACCTCGCTACCAGCACACACATCCATTTTCTCCTGTGTGGCTCATTTTTATTGCCTTCTGCTCAAACCCTGATTCTGTAGCCTTTCAATTTGTATTTCTCAGTTCAGGCCTGAGATTTCTCTCTGACAATTGTGCACATATATGTGCATGGCAACCACACATATGCACACACATGATTTCTAGGATGACCACTGAATAATCTATTTCTAGTCTAGAATGTCAATGTCAGCTTATGTATTGACAATCACATTTGGGTCAAGCAAACACCAACCATGTCAGTGTGTTCTGTATAGAAGGTTTGGTGGATTGGATAAGAAAAAAAGCAGGACATCATATGGCACCAGTGGAGCCATTTAACAAAGAACTGGGCTCTTTCCAGCCCTAGTGTGAGAGAATATTGCCAGTGAACCACGTGCACTCTGTGGATTTATCTCTATGTGCATCAATGTGCAGCTACAATTGTAAGTAAATCATGAAAAAAAATGTTTTGTTTCCAATTCCAGCAATAATTGGATTAGGCACCTCTTTAATTAGGACCTAAATAATTCTGTGACACTAACTATCTTCAGTGCCATAAAGTAGCTTTTTAGAGTTATCAAGGGACAGGACACCTCATTAAAATATTGGCATTGGCAGATTGTTCGCGGAAAGTTTCGGTTTCGTGAAGGCTGTGAATATCCAGCACAGAGCTTTGGCAGAACTGATGCCACTGGATACACTTTATTTTTTCAAACATTCTGGGCATGCATTTTATCTGCACCTTACAACAACTTTATCGAGATACAATTAACATAGCATGCAATTCACCCATTTAAATTATACAATTCAATTTTTTTAGTATATTCAGTACTCTGAATATACTAAATATACTGAGTGTACAGCCACCACCACCTCTAATTTTGTAAGCTTTTGGATCCCCTCTACTACTGTAATTAAGAAACCCCATTTCCATTAACAGTTAGTTATTCTCATCCTCACTCCATCTCCAACTTCCAACCCAACCAACGCCCGGCAGCCTAGGCTATCACTAATCTTTCTGTATCTATGAGTTTGCCTATTTCTGAACAGTTCATATATAGTTGACCCTTGAATAACACTGGTTTGAACTGTGTGGGTCCACTTATGAGCAGATTTTTTTCAATAGAAGTTATACCCAGTGTGCCTGCCTCTCCTTCCTCCCCTTGCACCACTTCTATCTCTTCTGCCTCTGCCACCCCTGAGACAGCAAGACCATCCCTCTTCCTCCTCCTCCTCAGCCAATAAATGTGAAGACAAAAAGGATGAAGACTTTTATGATGATGCACTTCCACTTAATGATCCACTTCTAGTTAATGACTAGGAATTACGTTTTCTCTTCCTTATGATTTTCTTAATAGCATTTTCTTTTTTCTAACTTACTTTATTACATGAAAACAGTATACAATACACATAACATACAAATATGAGTTAATCAACTGTTTATGTTATTGGTAAGGCTTCCAGTAAACAGCAGGCTATTAGTTACGTTTTGGGGGAGCCAAAAGTTAATGTGGACTTTCAACTGCATGGGGGTTGGTGCTCCTAATGTTGTTCAAGAGACACTGTGTATAAAATCAAACAACATGTCGTCTCTTGCGACTAACTCCTTTCACTTATAATGTTTTCAAAGTTCATTCATGATTCCTTGTGTCATGCATCTGTATTTCCTTCCTTTTTATTGCCAAGTAATATTCCATTGTATGAATACAATATATTTTGTTTATTTATTCATCAGCTGAGGACATTTCTATGTTTTCACTACTATGACTACTGCCACTATGAACATTTGTGTACAAGTTTTTGTGTGAATGTATGTGGGCTTTCAATTATATTGGTTATATATCTAAGAGTAGAATTTCTGGGTCATATGTTGATGCTATGTTTAACACATTCAGAAACTGCCAAACTATTTTCCACAATGACCACACCATTTAAAATTCCTACCAGGAATGTATAATGGTTCTAAGTCACCATATTTTTTGCCAGCACTTGTTTTCTGACTTTTGGATTATATCCATTCTATGGGTTCAGAATTATATATCATTGTGGTTTTGATTTGTGTTTGCTGAATAATGATGCTGAACATCTTTTTGTGTGCTTTTTGGCCGCTTGCATAGCTTCTTTGGAGAAATGTCTATTCAAATTATTTTCCCATTTAAAAATTGTGTTATTTAACTTTTTCTTTGTGAGCTGTAAGAGTTCATTATATATTCTAGATACAAGTCCGTTATCAGATATGGTTTGCAAATATTTTCTCCCATTCTGTGTGTGCATGCATTGTATTAAAGTCAAAATTAAATGTAGAACTAGACAGGAGGCATATCTTTCTACTTTTGAATCCCAAATTCAACATTTAGTTTCAGCAAAACTGCATCATCTGTCATGTCACATTAAACTAATGTAATAATTCGAATGTTATTGCTTTATAGATTTAATTATTTTTTGTAAATGTGCTTTACTTCTATAGTTCTCCAGAAGCTACCTACGAAATTAGGGAATTGATATACAGTTTTATATTTGAATATATTTAAATAATATTATAATAAGAATAACTTAAATCAACACTTTCCTTTAAGAGGTAACCTTTTATTTTTCCAAGACTAGCCTTAGCCTGTAAATTCCATGAGGCTACACAGCACCTGCCTTATTCACCATTGCATTACCTGAGCTGGCACGTAAAAAGTGCTCATGAAATAACAGGGCTGACTAAAGGTTTTCTGCCCCAAGTGCAATGATAATATTGGGCACAAATCAGACATTTGAGGAGGCCAAACAGTGCACAAAGTTAGTGTTTCTCCCTGGCATTAAAAATACATAAGAATGGAAAACCAGGGGGGGAAAGAAAGCATGTGTCTGCATTAGCAAAGCATAGAATCAAGCAGTTCAGTCTGCCACAGAAAAATGGAATAGAAAGGATGTTGGAAATAGCTTCCTTACCATCTTTGCCTACAAATATGTGTGCGCCGATTTCAGCCCTTGACCCTGAGCCTTCTGAAGCCACTCTTCCCTCATTTGGCAGCTGTCCCCACTCCCAGATTGTATGGGCTTGGGCTGTCCCTATGTCCGCAGCACTTTTAGAAAAAAACCCAGTGTTGCACCCTTCATGGAGCTGGCCCAAGTTCTGACCCAGATTCTGCCAAGGAAGAATAAAATCTAACTTTAAGTAAGCTCTTCCTAGATTCCATGTACTTTGCATTCCATCCTTTCCACAACTCTGCAAGATGGTTATTAGCATCTCATTTTGCTGATGAGGAAACTAAGGCTGGGAGAGAGGAAATTTCTGCCCAAGGTCACGCCACAGGTGAAGGACCAGCTGGGATTCCTTTTTAGATAAAATGACTCAAAAGCCCCAGGCTTGCCTCTTTGTCCTGCTGCTCCCAAACAGCAATGCTGTCTATTTGACCATTGGAGTTACTTGCCAATTTACAATGGTGAGTCATAGAGACTGGAATCCATCACAAAGGCCTGTCAGCCCTGACCCCTCAGCAGAGTTTGTTGCAGTCTCCACCTCCTGCTCCTTTTAGAGAAGAGCTGATTTTCCAATAAGATCTGAGGGCAGGGGTCTTTCCAGCATCACCAGTTTCAAAGCTTGGTTCTACTTTGTACCAACCTGCATAAGCATAGCAGACACGCCGGCTGAGAGAAGTCTCCACACAGCTCTCATTTCCCTCTTCAAGTGCAAGGCCTGCTAGTGGATTGCAATGATATCACTTCTTCCTTTTCTTCAGAAGGCTTTGGTCTGCCACACCCAGCCACTTCAATGGCTGTTGCATTCTACGTTACCCAAGAGAACTTTCCACAGGCTTCCATTTCTGCAGCTTTAGAAGGCATCTGATCCAGGAGCTTCATTTAAGGAAGGTCAGTGTCAGAGCCTGATGTCAGACTAGAGATCAGGGAAAACCTTATCATAGTCAATGATGGTCCATCGTGTGTCCCTGCCATCAGAAGGCGGAAGGGGGTGGATGGATGGTGAACCCAAGTAAGTTTGTAGAAACTGACTGTTAAAGCAGCTGAAATTTCTCTGATTAGGGGTAAAAATCCAACAACTTGATCCCTGAGTTTTGCGTGGGCCCAATCTCTTCTAAAGGAATGGGACCTCGGCTTTTGCTTCTAAGAGGAACCTGTCAGGAGAAATGAGGGAGGGATCACCTTGGAATCTGAAAATGTCACTCTCTGCCTCTCAACTGACATGTGAAGCCCCACAGAAGGCTCAAATCACGGTGACAAAGTCTCATGCAAGGACACTGGCCTCTGCCCCGGGTGGTAACAGCATCCTAACGCAGGCTCCTTAGATAGCAAGAGGAAGGCTGCAACGCCAGGGAGCTGAGGATGCATCAGAGAACCGGGCTGTGTCCCTGGAAGTTTCCCATGTAGGTGCTCATCACACACCCTAGGGGAGGCATCCAGGCTTTGGGACTGAGAATATGCAAAATAAAGCAGGGGAAAAGACTTCTGACTTGTAGGCAAAGATGATAAGAAACTATTTCAAACATCCTTCCTCTTCCATTTTTCTGTGGTCAACTGAACGGTCTGATTCTATTCTTTGTCTGATACAGACAAATGCTTCTTTTACCTTCCCCAATTTTCAGTTATTATCAATTTTTAATGCCAGGGAAAAATACTGAAATACTGACTTTGTGCACCTTTTGGCCTCCTCAAATGTTTGATTTGTGCCCAATATTGCCATTACATTGGGATGGAAAACACTTCATTAGACCTGTAAACATTCAGCCAATTACATTTTCAAGTACTTGGGCAAATTCTCTGCATGCAGACAATTGATAGATGGTCTCCATTTTCATTAGGCTGGTTGTTTTTGTGTTTAGAGACACAAGGCCCAGAGCATGTGGGTTGAAGTTTACACAGAGCTAGTACCAGCCCAAAGGTGTTCACAGAGACCTTTCTGCTCTATTTATTTCATTAGAGTATGTGTTGTCTTTAAATGGATTTTTCACGGCATAAAAAGAAAAATAAATTTTTCATAAACTGAAAAGATATGATGCATTTGGATAATATTTTTAAAGAAACTTTTAAGCTCATGCTTGTATATAAATAATTCAGACTGTTCATGATCATACTGATAAATTCATTGTAGCTTTGGAGAGAGCTATCCACAGGTAATACACGTCCTGAATAAAATGTTCCAGTCTCCTAAGGGATCTGAGGCATGTGTACATGGTGGGGATTTTAGAAATCATGATCCATATTTCCCTAATCCTTATTGGAGCACCTTCTGTATACTTGGCACCATGCCTGGAGCTAGAGATACCAGTTAGGATAAGGTGCAGTTCATGATCTTAAGGAGCTTGTGGTGTTGATATGGGACATTTACCTAAGTCGCTGTAATATGGAGAGATCATCACATCGTTATAGGTACAACATGTTATAAGGGCCTCAAATGAACTTTTATTTCAACTGTGGATTAAGCGAAGACTTTATGGAAGAGGTGGCATTCCAGCAGGCCTTGAAGGAGGGGCAAGAATTCAACAGTATGAAATGGGGACGGGAGTGAGGGCTCAGTGTGAGGAAGGACACAGTATGAAGTTCTGGGTGTGTTAGGGGAAAGGAATGCACTCTGAGTATGCAGATTATTGCACAGAGAAGTTATTGAATTAGTAAATGAGAAATTGCAATGCCAAGGGAGTCAGGTGTTGGAGGCTGGGAGGTGCTAAGGGTGTAGGAGGACAGCAAGAGGCCCAGTTTGATGTGAGCAGGGGCCCTGGGAAGGAAAGAACGAAAGGCAAGATGGCTGGCCTGAATAAATCTTGACATTTCTGCTCTATCCTTAGTCATGTTGCGGGGGCCTGAAAACGTGGAACCCAACGCAAGCCAACCTTGCCTCCAGCACGGAGAGATCTTGATACTCGTGTCTAGGTGGTTTTCTACTCCAATGACGCACAGCCTCTTCCATATGTGTAGAGGGAGGCATCTCCCAGTTTATCCAAGAGAACAGCCCTGACCCACATGGGACTGTGACGTTCCAGACTCCTCAGGCCCCACTGGGACTTCCTTCCTCATTTTAGAAATGGATGACACATAGAGGATGCGAACAGAACAAGAGTCTGTCAAAAGTGACACAGAGAGAACGGGCGGGGACCTCAGCAGATTCCCCCCCTGCCCAGCGTCTCCTTCTGCAGAGTGATTGTAGGCCACCTCCTTGAGCTCCTGTAGCTTAGAAAGACACTTCAGTAAGATGAGTCACCAGCAGCACTGGTTTTCACTTGGAATCTTTTCATGTGCAGTCATAGCATACAGACCCAACCGGATTTAGAAACCCAACTCTGCCCTATAGCTATAAGTTAGTCTTTGGAGCATGAACCCATTAAAGACAGGGTTCTCCTTTGACCATCTGTCTGGACATTAGAATCATAGACTATTGGACGTTAGCGAAGTTTTAAAATTCATCCAGTCAGTGTCACACTGTGAGAAAAACTCTCAAGTATTCCTCAAATTGCCGGTTATCATTTTTTCTCAAACCCTTTCAGCAATGAGTAACCGGCTCAATTAGTCACCCATTATGGGGCCAACCTGCTGCAAAGTCAACCCACAGTTCAAGCTTCTGCACTTCCAAAGCTGCTCATTCATCTAAGTAAATGATTGCCATTTTGATATTTTAAGTTAATGTAGTTTGAGGTCAAGCTGACCCAGCCTAAGTCTGTAGTTAAAGAGGCCAAGGGAGTCGGAGAGCTGAGTGTCACCCTTCAGTGTGGCCTCTTGGCCATAGCTGACCAGAACACCTTTTCGGCCAGCCTAGCATCACTGTCCTGGTTCAGAACTTCATAGTCACAAGCCTGGGTGTGTGTGACAGTGTCCTGATCACCCTCCTTTATGCTGCTTCCTCCTATTCCTGACTGCTGCCCACTCCACCATTGGATTGAGTCCTCCTCCTCTATAGCCTTAAATCTTTACTACTTTTCTTCCTCCCCCTACCCATTTTCCAAACTCCACCCAATAGCCCAAGACCCGACCTCATCTCCCCATCCAGCCCCATCAACTTCAACCTCGGCACCCTGTGTTCTGCTCCCATGAAATCACTTGATCACTAGCTAGCATTCTTACATCTCCATAATTCTGCAAGTCTTGTCCTTCCTGGCCTTGGCCATCTTTCCAGACCCAACTCCAATGCTACTTTGATTTTAAAGCCTCCTGCAGCCCCTCAGCCTTGGACTGTCCTCCCAGAACCCCTTCTCTGTGCTGCATCACACTGAGCATCCCGCTCTGGAAGCTGTGATGCTTGTACCTAAGATGTTTGTGTATACCTCCACATCCTTTGCTGAGCTGCGCACCTCGAAGACTAAGTTATGGCATGTTCATTTTTACATCCTCAGTGCCTGGAACAGAGCAGATGATCAGTTTACAGTAATGGAATCCATGAATAAATGAATGAATAAATGAAGTCAATGCCTGTGTGCCTACATGGAACTGCTAAGCAGAGGTTGGTGAATGTCACTCAGTTACCAACAACTATGGCAGGTCCTGCTTGGTACCAATAGACTGTACAGAAAACAAGCACAGCCTCTCTCTCAAGGAGTCTAATTGGGCAGACAAGATATAAACGTTTAAAGAGTGATGGTCTTCACCAAGGCTATCCTCTGCCCTGCACATCTTTTGAAATTAATTCAATCTAGAGGTGCTTTGAAAACACATGAAACTCAGCCCAGCTTATTCACCTGGCAGGTATTAATGCCAAGCCTGGGAATCTCCTGTTGGGGGCTATGCTACTGGTAGAGGTCACCTGGAGCCAGCATATCTGCTGGGTGACTAATCTTGAAGAGCCTGAACAACAGTGACAATACTTTCTTCTTCTTCTTCTTCTTCTTCTTCTTCTTCTTCTTCTTCTTCTT